AAAAAAAAAAAAAAGAACCTGTGCCCATAATGACATTTGCCTGGCAGTTGCCCACTTCAGGTTCACAAAGGGCTTTCACATTAACCATCTCCTTAGGTCCACACAATGGAGTAGGTAGACATTGTTATGACCATATTGTAGTATAACACTGAGGATCAGAAATATTACATGACTTGCCCAGCAGACACTTCCATCTAGCTGCCCTCGCCCATGACTGTGCAGCAAGGGACGCTGAAGAGGCAAAGGCTCCAGAACAGCCCCTCATAGCCGCTGCTCCTTTCCCAGTGGACACCATAGGCCCATTCCCCTAAGGCTGGCCCACGGCAAACCAGGGACTCTGGCAGAAGGGAGGGAAGTCACAGTACCTGTGGTGAACTCAGCAGGCTTCTTGAAGCGGGTCAGGAAGATGTGGCAGAGGAGGTACAGTGTTGCAAACAGAAGTGTTGAGATCTGTGGCAGAATGTGAGCTGGGATGAGAAGCTCTAACCTTCAGCATACTCCACAGCCCCAAGAGCCTCTCTGTTAATTCCCTGGCATCACTTCCTCAAGATAAGGCTCCATACTTCCAGGGGTTCCATCCGGAGCCTTACCTTGAGGCTGCGATCCCAGTGATTTCCCAGGTACTTCCTTCTAGTCAGGGCCCCAGGGGCCTCTAAGACAGTCCAGACAGGGGCTGCCCCATGCACCTGGGGAAACAGCACCATGCCCAGCCCTACAAGGACTTTCCTGGGAGAAAACAGCTTCAGCCCAACTCTGATTGGTAAATGGGTAAAAGAAAACTCCTAGAAACGCACAATGCACACTTATCTAAAACCGGCTACAGAACCAGAGGGAATTTACTCTGAGCACATTATTGGAAAGGGAAGCAGGTTTGAGGGAAGATGTCCGCATTGTCCTGGCACCCCATCGCTACCACACCCTCCTACCTCCACCCACATTGCTGCCTTGACCCAAAGTAGGTGTCATGTTTCTAGGCCAAGTCATAACTTCTATTCCATGCTTATTCAGGGACCCTGCAAGATCAGGTCTGCTCTGCACCAAACCAGAGCCTCATTTAATCCTCTACCCCTAACAGTGGGCTTTAGTTGGGGCCCAACATCTACAACGTTTCTAGAGCTGGCTGGACTGCCAAGTGGCAGTGATGGCAGAACTCGGCCAGGTTAATCTGCATATTCATTCCTACCCTACTCCAGGTAAGCTGCTACTGCCCAGAGGAGGACCCATTGGCCAACTTGGCTCTAATCAAGACCAGAGAGTGTTGACGGGGCATGGTGGCTCATGCCTGTAATCCCAGCACTTTGAGAGGCCAACGCAGGTAGATCACTTGAGGTCAAGAGTTCAAGACAAGCCTGACCAACATGGTGAAACCCTGTCTCTATTAAAAATATAAAAATTAGCTGGATGTGGTGGCGGAGGCCTGTAATCTCAGCTACTCGGGAGGCTAAGGCACGAGAATCACTAGAACCTGGGAGGCGGAGGTTGCAGTGAGCAGAGATCACACCACTGCACTCCAGCCTGGGCGACAGAGTGAGACTAGGTCTCAAAAAAAATCCAGAGAGTCTCAAGAAGAGAAGTTATTGTGTTTGAGACAGGCCAAGAGGACAGGATCAGTTTCATGGGTCTTCCAGTCTCCAAAAAGGGCTGACCCCACAGAGAATCCACATACAGCTATCTACACAAGGAGGGAAGAATCCACAGAGACGCAGGAGAACCATCGATCTAGAACAAAGTCATAGCTTTTGACATTAAGAAAGCAGAATAGAAGGAGCCACTCAGGGCAGGGGGTGATGGCTCATGCCTGTAATCCCAGCACTTTGGGAGGTCAAGGTGGGTAGATCACGAGGTCAGGAGTTTGAGACCAGCCTGGCCAATATGGTGAAATCCCATATCTACTAAAAATACAAAAATTAGCCAGGCATGGCAGTGCACGCCTACAGTCCTACCTACTTGGGAGGTTGAGGAAGAAGAATCGCTTGAACGTGGGAAGCAGAGGTTGCAGTGAGCCGAGATTGCGCCACTGCACTCCAGCCTGGGTGACAGAGTGACAGACTGAGACTCCGTCTCAAATAAATAAATAAATAAATGAGACACTCAGATTGTAGCTGTAGGATTTTTATAGCCTGTGTTCTGCCCTGAGCTTGCGTAATAGCCAGGAAGGTGAGAGGGCTCAAAAGGTCATGCTGAAGTTCCACGCAGTTACAGAGGAGGCTACGTTGTTCTCTAGCCTCCTGATGACAGCCAGGTGGGGGAGGTACCAGAAGTCTCCAGGCTGCCCTTAACCAGCTCATGGGACTAAAGGTATGGGGGAGACATCCAGGAGGCTGCTTCTGTCCAAGGTCTCATCCCTCCCTGTTCTCTAGGAATGTAAGCCTCTGGCCCAACACTGTCTCAAGGCCAGGGTGTGCCTCTGCAATATGCCCAACCCACCATGTGGACTGTCCACCAAGGAACACACGAGGAAGGCTTGCCAAAAGCATACTTCTACTGGAGTTGCACACACAGATTAATATACTTTCCAGTCCTCACAGATAAGAATAGAGCTAATTATGTCCTGGCTCAATTTACCCCTCCTCCAATCAGGCTGCCCAGGGCTGGCTAGAGCCCAGCCTGAAAAAAATGAAGGGAATGACCCCAACACTGGGTTCCCCCACTTATTAACATTTCTTTCTGTTTTTCCAAACCATTCCCTTTCTATTTAGTATTTGGGTATGAGGGTTGCCCCGGGGAGCTCTGGGAAAGGAAACAGAGAAGAAACCAGATAAGTGAGAATTCAAAGAAAGGCTGAGGAAGATAGGACTCCCTAAGCTTCACTGGGTACTCCTACCCCAGAAGTGGAGTCCACTTCTGTGTGGCAGGTTCAGCCGTCGCTCTAAGTGGCAGGGAGGGCGTAAGGAAGAGCAGCCAGGTACCCTCCGAAGCACAGGTTGGACCACTCACCGAGGAAACCCCAGAATGGCTGGGAGGCTGGGAACCCAGTCTTGCAGGGTTTCAAACAAACACTAGTGAGAAAGAAAAAGACGGGGGGAAAACTTGGTTGTTCCTCATCTCTACATATTAGAATCTACCCCAATAAGAGTCCTTTCTTCCAAAGCAGGAGACGACCCAAGTCCCCAGATTTCTGACAGCTGCCATCCCTACAACTCCCGTCTTTTCTGGAATCAAGCTCAGTGTGACGACGTCTCCCCTTCGTCCAACGTCAGCTGGGTTTGCCCTCAATCCAGTTTGAGTGCAAGCAAAGCCATCCTTTCCCGAGTATCAGACTAGGGCGGATTCCGCAGGCCCTGAGGGCCCGTAGACCCCCAACAGGAAGACGCGCGGGGTGAGTGGTGGGAGGGAAGGCCGGGGGAGGGGCGTGTGGGGAGGAACGGAAACGGCGGCCTTTGTTTATCGCGCAGGGACCCAGTTGATCCCATCTGGGGGTTCGCCAGCCGGGCACCCGCCCTTCTGCCCGGACTGAGGCCTCTGTCGCCCGCCACTGGTCCAGGCAGTTTGACGGCGCTCTGAAGCGCGGACCCCAACCTCCTCTCTCCCGCAACCGCCGCTTCTCCCCGCCGGGGCCCCGCACTCACAATGCACTCGCGGACCCTCTCGTGGAAGAGCTGTTCTCGCACCGATAGCACTTCATAGTCAGCTGCTTCCATACTCTGCTCAGCATGACTGGAGCAGAGAAGCCTCCGGGCCCGGGGAGGACGAGCGGGGAGGAAGCCGCCGCCGCCGCCGCCGAGCACCCGGACCCAGCCTAGGAGCCTTTCCTCGCAGCCTGCGACAGAAACTCGGAGCAGTCTGGGGCTCAGACACAGTCGTCCCCAAGCCCCGCCCTTAAAGGGGCAGGCACCACCCGCCTCGTTTTAAGTGCTCTGGCGTCCTTTTGCTCCCTCCCCTTTAAGTTAGAGCCGCCGTCAAGTTTCAACACAAACACCCGCCACTAGGCTCGCTATAGGGAAGCGCCCCGGAGGTTCCATCTTTTTAAAAGATTGAGTGACGACACAAGGGATGGGCGGGTTCCTTCCAGGGGGAGGAACTCATTGGCTCCTGGAGAGCTGCCGCTCATCGCTGGAAGAGCGTTGATAGGCTCGCCCCGTGAAGGAAGGTGGGATCTTTTGGGCCTACCGCTGCTCATTCTAAAATTGAGCAACTGTCTTTCTCATCTCGAAAAATGACGGTTCCTGGATTTCAGGAGCAGCCGGGATTTTAGTTTGACCTTGGTTAAATGAACCATTTGGATTAGTCCAGCCAGGCAGGATGTGAGGGTACCCTAGGGGTTTCGAAAGGTACCGCTGCCCGCTAACCCATGGTAGCAGTATTTTCTGTGTGTTTGTGTTGGGGTGCTCCTCCCCACACCCTCACCCTGCCTTCCTGCCGCCAGGAGTTTTCATTCAATCATTTTTGTGGAAGGCCTAGTGGAAGGCTAGATCAAATACTGAAAAATACTGGATAGAGATCTGTAGAAATATTCTGAAACTTTGTGAAGAAGTGCCCACAAGGATCGTTGAAGAGTGGGGCTGAGTCAAACATTAGCTAACCCCTTACTATGTGCCATTCACCTTATAGTCTTTATCTCAGCCATGTTACCCAGGCTGATCTGGAACTCCTAGCCTCAAAGTGCTGGCCCTCCCAAAGTGCTGAGATCACAGGTGTGACCCACCCAGCCCATTATCTGATTTTTAACATGACAACAACCCTTCAGAGGAAGGTATTGTGATTTGGCTTTTTATTTTTTATTTTTTTGAGACCGAGTTTTGCTCTTGTTGCCCAGATTGGAGTGCAATTTTGCAATCTCGGCTCACTGCAATTTCTGCCTCCTGGGTTCAAGTGATTCTCCTGCCTCAGCCTCCCGAAGAGCTGGGATTACAGGCATTCATCATCATGCTCATCTAATTTTGTATTTTTAGTAGAGACAGGGTTTCACCATGTTGGTCAGGCTGGTCTCGAACTCCCGACCTCAGGTGATCCGCCCCTCTCGGCCTCCCAAAGTGCTGGGCTTATAGGCATGAGACACCGCGCCCGGCCATGATTTGACTTTTACTTGTTCATGTTCTAGAGACAGTTTTGTTACATTGCCCAGGCTGTAGCACAGTGGCTATTGACAGGGGCAACCATGGCACACTATAGACTCCATCACCTGAACTCAAGCGATCCTCCTGCCAGGGCCTCCAGGGTAGCTGGGACTACACTTGTGTGCTACCAATCCTGGCTTTGCACATGCCCAAGTTCAAACATTTAAGGAATGCAAATTGCCTTCCTGTGGCCTTGGTACCTGTACTGTTTAGGAAGTACCACTGTCATGGAATTGAACCTTCTCTCTAAATTGGAGGGGATTCTTGGGAAGAAGAAAAAAAACTCCCACTGATGCTTGAAAATAAAATTCAGTGGCCGGGCGTAGTGGCTCACGCCTGTAATCCAAGCACTTTGGAGGCCAAGGCAGGCAGATCACCTGAGGTCGAGAGTTCAAGACCAGCCTGACCAACATGGTGAAACCCTGTCTTAAAAAAAAAAAAAAAGGCCGGGCGCGGTGGCTCACGCCTGTAATCCCAGCACTTTGGGAGGCCGAGGCGGGTGGATCACAAGGTCAAGAGATCGAGACCATCCTGGTCAACATGGTGAAACCCCGTCTCTACTAAAAATACAAAAAATTAGCTGGGCATGGTGGCGCGTGTCTGTAGTCCCAGCTACTCAGGAGGCTGAGGCAGGAGAATTGCCTGAACCCAGGAGGCGGAGGTTGCGATGAGCCGAGATCGCGCCATTGCACTCCAGCCTGGGCAATAAGAGCGAAACTCCGTCTCAAAAAAATAAAAATAAAATAAAAATAAAAATAAAAATAAAATTAAGTTAATAAATACATAAGAGGGGAGCAGTGTATAAACACATACATACCTTATATACTCGTCTTTGGCGATAGGAAGATAATGAGAGGACCTGAAGACTAGCCAGAACTAAAAGTGAACAGAACTCCCATGGGGAGAATGAGTAGAGACTCCCAAAGTGCTGGAATTACAGGCATGAGCCACCGCGCCAGGTGAACATAGCTAGCTGGGTCCTTGGATGCACTGCAAGGAAGGAAAGAAGAACACAGGGAAGTGGTTTGGGCTGACTATGTTTTAGGAACAAACATGAATGGATCAAAGCTGTGACCTGGAGGAGCTTGCAGCTTGTTAGGAGCTTGCAGCATCAAGGCTGCCCTGATGCTAAACCCTTCTAAGATATTTATTTCAACTATGAGAAGCCATGTGCTTCAGTAATTATTACTGAAACACATATCAAGTCTTGTAACTCCTCAAAACCCATCGCACTTAAAAATTCACCTGCCTAAAATAAGCCTACAAGGCCCTCAGAGATTGCAAAATGGTGGCCTTTGGGATGCATCAGACAGGCTGTTTGGTTTGGCTTAGTGTTTTTAACCATTTGAACCAAGATTTAAAAATCAGAAAATGACACATTAAAAGTTCACATTCCCACCTCTCTTATTTTTTTATTTTTATTTTTTGAGACAAAGTTGCCCAGGCTGGTCTTAACCTCCTGGGCTCAAGCAATCCTCTGGCCTCAGCCTCTCAAAGTGCTGGGATTAAAAGCATGAGCCACTGCGCCCAGCCCATATTCCCATCTCCTAAATAGAGGACATGGCAGAGTTGGGCAATAAGGACCTATGACTCTGTAGATGGGCCAGGATGTGTCCTAGGCTTCCACAACCCTCATCACTCAGCTGTACGCTGTACAAGTTTTTCCATTTACATTGTCAGCCTAGCTGTGTGCTTGAGTTTGTGGTCTGTGATCGAGTCCCTCTCTACTGCAACTTGGTATCACCTTCACCTTGGCCTTTTGTCAGTGCCTGGTGGACCCTGCCAAGTTCTTTCCCATCTCTGGATCCTGTCTCAAAAATAAATAACTTTTTTTTTTTTTTTTTTTTT